TGATGAGTGACACAGGGTGGTGATTCTGATTGTATTACTGTGTTAGTGGTTGTATACATTGATGCACAGTGTGGTCATTCTGGACTTGGTTACCCTTGTTAACACCATCTAAGTACACACAGAGCTTGATAACAATAATGTAACCACCTTAACATATATCCATCACTAACGATATTTATGGGATTACATGTATTATTGACTAAGTATGTGCAAATGTCAATGTTTATAATTTTCAGGTAGTTCCTTACCTCACTATGGTATTCCTTATTACCCTGTGTTTTCATTGTGTATTTAAACCAATGAAGACCAGTTTGTGACCTAATTGGCTTTGGTCGAGGTAGTTTTTCAGTAATAATGCCCATTTCATTGTTCCGTACGCCTGTCATAGGGCGTGGGTATAAAAGTCACGGTAACTACAACTAAGCTGCCACTCCGCAAAGGTTATCATATCAGAATATGTCCCACACACATGGAGGATTACAAAAATCATGACTAGACTTTGCCACCTCAGGTGGTACCAATAAGTGATTTTATTTTTGTCTGGGCCCATGGACTCGCTGTTTGTACTTTTTATGGCATTTCCTACAGAATTTCATTAGCCCCCCCTAAACCGGGGTTTTTATAATTACATTTTATGACTACTTCCTCCAGCTGCCTTTTGTGTGGCGAAGCAAGAGGCAGCGGGGGTGTGAGGGGTGACCCGCCCTTTCGTGCGCCAGCTCTACATCCAGATCAAACTTAGAAAAAAAAATAGGCAGAATCATTCTTAATGTAATTTCTTGGAAAAAGGCATATATACAACAGGTTTATAGAACAAATGGATTTTACAGACTCCCCTTCTGTGATATACTGTATATGGCGTTGTCTGGTTGTGGCAGCTGCATCCTTAGAAGCCAATAACAGTAAATATACTCGTTCCATGGCAGTTTTGTTTCACCCGACACTTTCCTACACGCACCTTTCCCCTGTTTTATTTTATTATTTGGGTGAACTCTTTTAAACTGCCTGAAATATATAAGTATTCCACATGACGTCCACACTCTTGGCTTGCAGTAATTCCATCCCACATAGGGTACGAAAAACCTTATCTGCATAGTCATTGAATGGGAATGTGATTAACAATAACTGCACCATCCAACACTTAAGAATCAGAGGTGGTTCAGGATTTTTAATATTAGCCTTTCTCCTACACCAGTCTGATATTTAGTGTTGCGCCTTGAAACTCACGAAAGATCTCACTTTCCTTTATTTCAAAAGAGAACAGCTAATACGTTAATGGCAACAATGTGTTGAAGCATAAGCGTCCCTGGGAGAAAAATGTGCACATTCGTCAAGAAGGCCGTGGCCTTAAAAAGAAAAAGTATTTAGCAGGCAACGTTTTGGGCAATGGTCCTTCACAGCATATAGAGAGGTCGGAGAGGTAGAGTGGATACGAGCTTTAGACAGCACTTTATATACCATCGGGTAGAATATACATTAAATTCTAAACATATTTCCTGATTTTGACATCATGCACTTTGTGTGCTCAATTCTCATTTGGGTAGGATTCCAATGAGCATCATGCACTGAAAGGGAAGCTGGGACACGGATCCTGGAGGAGTGTCATGTTGGCATGTTAACATGTGGAAAATAATTCGCCACTTATCTGCTTTGTCCAGGGCCTTGCACGGGTGTCAATGCGTCCCCACAACAGGCATGTGTTTCAAAACCGTCCAGCATTCTATTGTAGCCTCTATACATGAATATTAACATCTACATACAAAACCGCTTAATACGCACTCTTTAAATTACACATTACCTCTCAAAGCTGATCTACTTGGAGGGAGAGCCTTTCCATTATGGCGAAAGGTAAATGCTCAGCCCTGAATGTGCTTTCTTGCACCACTGCTGGTGAAAGGGGCCTCCACAGAGGGAGCTCCTAAGAGCCACTCTACAGGATATTTCGCCTACTCTTCCATGCTGGCCGAGACATCTTGAAAGAGGCAGGAGTAACCACCACTTTACCCCAGCACACTACTAACTCTGGCGAACCCATTTTTTTGGGTTTATTTTGTTTATCCAAAATTCCAGCTTCGTTGAGTCTGACTTTGAGAGGGGTAATCTAATATAGGCACCCCTACTTCAGTGTGCGACGTGCGTTTGGCATGCGTGCATTCGGCATCTGTATTGCAGTTTGTTGGGTTTAAACAAAACTAAAACTAAACTTTTGATTTTATCAGGTAAGGCCCCACAGAGCTATATAGCTCTTTTTCAGAAGCAACCTGGCCACAAATTATATCTCAATGAAGTGCCTTATGTGGAAATGTATAGCAGCCAAAATATGAAAAATGCATGTTTCTAAATGTGGAGGAAAAAATCGGAAGACCAGGAGAAAAATCCATGCAACCACAGGGAGAGAGACACGCAAACTTCCAAATACAGGAGACCCGTGAATATCGCAGCAGTTACTTACTTGGAAGTGCCGCTAAAGCCAAAACCGCGATATTTAATACTTAAGCCTTACCTAAATAATGGGGTGGGGTACACGGCAACCTACATCGACACAGCACAATTTAAACAAGCATACAGTACTTAAACAAGTACTGTATGCCAAATAAACAAAAAAGCCAGAAAAACTCCACACAAGAAACATTCCCAGACAATAAATAGTAGTAAATACTGAATAATTACTGTACTTACCAATGATGATGAACCAACACAGATGTGTGTTTGTCCGCGAGTGCAACGGTTAGCGCTCTGCATGACGAACCTGGCGAACCGAGTTCGATTCCAGCTCACACCCAAAACCAGTGACATTTATCTGAATCGGTCCTGATAATCGTCATCCATAGGTCGACTCAGCCTCACATGAGTACCTGGTGCCATGTGTAAACATCACCACTGTGGAGACAAAGGCACCCGGGCTTCTTCTTAGCCCAGATTCAGTACAAGGTACAGTTAAATGGTGAGTGAGTGTAAAGTTAATGTCCCATCTTCTGTCTTCTTTCTTATCCGAAAAATACTTACAGTCCCACAAGGATGTGTTGAATAATAGGCTTGGTCCACTGCTGGAGCGTGCTCACGGCCAGACTGCTCGCTGCTCGTTCACAGCTTTGTCTGTGCATCATACTCGATCCACAGCTAGAGTGCGTAAGTGGGCTGAGCAATGCCACCCCGCTGTAAGTGGTTCGGCTATGTTCCATCTTAGACCAGGAAAAGCGTTGGGCAGAGATGATCTCCCGGACTACCCTACATAATATCATCACAACAGTCTGGAACACAGGACAGGTTCCTTAAGATTGGAAGGATGCCCTGGTATTCTCCACCTTTAAGAAGGTAAACAACACAGATTGTACCAACTACAGGGGCCTTTGCCTCCTCACTGTGCCAGGAAAGGTCCTGGCAAGGATTATTCAACATTGCCTTTCCAAGCACACTGCAGAGAGGCTTGCAGAGCCCCAATGTGATTTCAGACCAAGGCAGTCCTGCCTGGATACCATATTCTAGATCTGTCTGCTACAGCAGAGGTATAGGGAATTCTAACAAGACCTACATTTTTGCTTTATTGAGCTGGTCAAGACCTATAATACTATCAATAAGCCTGGGCTCTGGGATGTTTTTAAGACCAGTGCTGACTCTCTGCTCACGATCATTAAGGACCTTCGTGATGGTGGGCAGGCCCAGGTGAAGCCACGTGGCCAGGATTCAGAGCCTTTTTCTGTTCACCTTGGGGTATGATAGGGATGGCCTCTGGCTCCTATATTATTTAACATTAAATTGAATCACGTAGTTCGAGAAGTTTTTCATGGCTGTTCTGGAGTAAAATCCATCTAGTACAGATACAATGGGAGGCTGATTGATGGCCGGGTGCGGTCGAGGGTTGGCTCCCTTTTGGTTAACTATGTTATGTATACTGATGATCTGGTGATTGCTTCTCACTCAGAGGAGGAGTTGGAGGCACTGCTGCTGAACCTGAAGCATGCAACTAAGAGGTGGAGTCTTACCATCAGCCCCACTAAGCACCTGCCTGGGTATTTTGTGCCAGCAAACACTCCACCCACTCAACCCATCATTGGTGATGGAGCAGTTGTGAAGAGAGTGGAGAGTTTTCAATACCTGGGCAGTGTGCTTATAACTAGTTCTGGTTTGACAGAAGAGGTCTCACTCCAAATCAGTTTGGCAGCATAATATTTTAATCGGCTGTTGTCATGCTGTGTGGAAGCTATCTGGTCTGTCACTCCACACGAAGCTTTGGGTTTACTCGGCCACGGTCATGCCGTTAATTCTCTGTGCTTGCGAAATGTGGACCCCTTTGATGGAACATCTTTGTTGGTTAGAAACATTCATGCTGGCCTGCCTACAATCCATCCTGGTTTAAACAGGCTGTATTGTGTGAAGAGCTCACAAATCCTTCTAAGATCTGGATGCATTCCCATCAGTGAGCTCCTCCGACGGACAAGGCTACAATGCCTAGGTCATGTAGCCTACATGCCCAGCCACGGCGTGCCCAAACGGCTTCTGTTTGGCCAGATAGAGGGGGCTAAACGGGCTCGATACATGCTAGAATAGAGATGGACTGAGGCGATTCAGGAGGAAGTCATGCTGAGTGGACTTGCTGAAGACTGGTACCAGCAGTGTTAAGATCGGCCTCTATAGAGGAGGCTCGTGAAGGACGCTAGTGGGCAGTTGGAAGCAGTTGCCCTCTAACAACAATGGATGGCAGAGGAGCGATGCTCATAACGAGTGTAGCACCGGGTGGCTAAAGTGCACAGTAGGGGACACGGTGGGTGCAGGGGTGGTGCATCTGCCAGTCATCTCAGTCAACCCATGGCACCTGGGTCTGTCTCGTGACCTGTCAGCGAGCCTTCAACACTTTACATGGCCTCAAAGTGCACCTGGCCTGGCACAAGCGCTGTGGTGACGTCACCACCACTTAGTGGCGAATCGCGACCGTTGTTGTTGGGAACTTGTTTTACGTGCTTCTGATTTGTACGGTGCATGTGCGGTCTGCGCGTGTGCAGGGCAGGCAGGCGGCAGCATTCATTTGTTGCACAAGAAAAAACACAAGAAACACAAGAAGCACAAGCGCCGTCGAGACGGGGTCGGCGCCGAAGGGGAGGTGAGCTTCTCCTCGGAGACGCTTGAGTCAGACTCCACCACTGGGAAGCCCCAGCTGAAGCTGAAGATCAAGATCGGAGGCCACATGCTCAGTACCACCAGGTGTGCAGCTCAGGGCCACAACGCTCACTGGTGCACACTGCTCGTCCTCCCGACTCGGGGCGCTCCGGTTCGTGGCTGGTGGGCCACCCAGTGCTGGCCACTGCCAGTTCTTGTGATGCCATGGGGCAACACAAACAGCTGATGCAGTAGAACTACTGTTATCCTTTTGCAGCTTATTCGTAACCCTATATCGATTGAATACTCATTTCTTTCGAACTGCCTTTTGTGTTTAGTTTGTTGTCCTTCCCCCGCATATCCAATTAGCACGGTTGGCTACGTACGGTGTGAAAGAGGTTCAACATACCTACATTACCTGTGGCTCTTTTTTATGAATAGCAGCTGGCGAGTTCATGAAAATTAATATTATCTGTGGCCCTATTTTTTCTTATCCGTGATTATCTGTGATTTTACCCATCATGCTTAGCGAAGCTGGTTTCTCATACAAAATGTAACGCAACTTGAGTTTTAACGTGAGCTTGGGAAAGGGGTCTTGAACCGGGGCGAGTAGGGACAGGCGCAGGCTCCTCGTTCGTGTCTCCGCCGCAGTGTACAGAACGCGGCTGGACGTGGCGTGATCCGGACACGCCACGACCCCGTTGGATGACTAGCAGCTTAGCCCCGCGTCCTTCCTCGCGTAGGTCGACAGCGCTAGCTGAGAGCACACGCACCGCTTTACAGTACAGTAGTTCCTCGGTTAACGTTTTTAATCCGTTCCACTAAGACTACTGTTAACCGAAATAACTGTTAATTAAATTTACTTACTTTGAAAAATAAGTACAAGTCACTGAGTCTGCAAGAGAGCTGTTTCCACTGCCAAAACAGAAAACAATGTAAACACAGCCAGTCGAGGTCTAAATGCTCATTAATGGACGTCACTGATTGTCTGAGGGCATTGCTCAGCCCACTTACGAGCGCTCAGATTGGCCGAAATTGGCACCCACGTGCATCACGTAAACGTACCGTTAATATACATTTTTATATTCTTGGTTCTTTCGGTAAAGTCACGTAGAAGGGAGATAATTATCACACCTGATGATGATTGCTTGTGTTGCAGTCAAAACGTCGTGAGAATTTTTATTTTTTTATATTATTTTATTATCTTCCTTCTACGTGACTTTACCGAAAGAACCAAGAATATGAATCCCTGCAGTCACGAAAGTTTTAAATCAAAACATTTTTACGTTAGTCGAAACCATGGGGTCCGATGGGAGGCGAAACATGAACCAAAAAAACGTCAACCGATGTCACTGTTAACCGAGGGACTACTGTATGGGCAAGGTCGTGGGCTTTATTAGGTGGGGAAACCCAGAAGGGTCGGCTTGGTTAGGGGGATAGGAAGTAATTCTCACCCAAACTTGAGTTGAAGCTTTCGTGACTGCAGGAATTACTCTTTGGTTCTTTCGGTAAAGTCATGTAGAAAGAAAATAAATTAAATTAAATAATAGTATTCTATTATTTAAAATTAACCAAAGAGTAACTCTCACCCAGTTTAACATGACCAATAGGTTCGGATTTCAGGACACTGGTCTGTTCAAGAGTAAATCCACAACATTTACAATTTGAGTACGGTGTTTGCTGGTGAGTACAACCAGCTTCAGCAGCCGATTTGCCAGAATAGTGAACGGGTCCTCCCGTTTCAGTCTTAAATAGAGTAAAGGTGATGTCATCATTTTGCACCTATCAGGTGCAGTTAGTCACAGTGCATTTTCTCATATTAACATAATCCATTTTCATGTATGTGCCTACATTAACCCCCTGTGGTTTTCGCACGTGATAGGCTCAAAGTGATGACATCACCTTTACTCTATTTAACACCGAAACAGAAAGACTTGCGGAGCCAAGGACTGCTGCACCTGTGGCGTTGTGATAAGTTACGTGGTCGCGGAAAATTGTTGACGAGAGCGCCCCTAGTGGCGAAGTCGTCTTATGCAGCTTTTCCACAAGAAATGTATGTTCTTTAGACTGACCGAAACAGGAGGATTTCTACACAAATCTGGCAAATCGCTTTTTATAGCCGGATGTAATTACCAGCGAAACGTCGTACTCAAATTGTATATGTTAGTTTATTCTCTAACACACCGCTGTGCTGAAGTAGTAACTCACGTTTTGTTAACATGACAAACCTTAATAATTGGCTGTGTCAGGTGGTGGTGGGTTAACGACATTTATATTGACGCGATCTAACCCACAAACCCTTTACTATGAATAACTCTCACCCAGCGTGTGCTACGCTTCACCCAACATTCCGCAGCACATTGCGCACACCGCCCCTCCTCACTGCACCCACCGCGTAGTGCGTTGCCCACGTCACAAAACGCGTGCTGCAACCGCACGCTTATCACCGTCGTGGAAGATTATGATCCTTTGCGATGATGGATTCGTTACTCCGAGTCTGAGCTTATGCTTTCATGAAGATATGCGGCCCTTAACTCGGATGGCGGAGCCAGCATCCTAATCCGGCCTAATTATGCGTGAAACACACGATGGGCATAGGAGCAACTGCCGAGTTAATCATTGTGCAGTTTGAGGCCATTGTGACCAAAGGAGTTTCGGAGTTTCGGAGCATCGGAGCTTGGCTCTCTCACCCACGTAAATTTGATGTGCAAATAATTTCACGGAATTTTCTGCCGATAATCCCGAAACAACAGGCTGACTGTGATGATCACACAAAGGCTTGCATCTCACATATCTCCTCTGCACATCCATCCACTTCTGAGGCATGATTACCATATGAATAGGTGTGCCTTTGAATGGGATCATTAGCATACGTGTGTACCGTCCCTTAAAATGGGAAGAATTAACATATAAATAGACATGACATACACAGGACGCCCAAGCATTAATTTCTCATGGTCACCCAATAATGGAATGCACACCAGCAGAACCCTTTTACACAGACAGGAGCCCAACATATTCTTGGTTCTTTGGGTAAAGTCACTTTACCATATGTGACTTTACCGAAAGAACCAAGAATATGAATCCCTGCAGTCACGAAAGCTTTAAATAAAAATTTAGGAGCCCAACAGTTGCATCAAATCCAGACTAAACTGCTTGTTTACCACGCTAATGTGTGATTAACATGGAACACGCCACTATTTCGTATCGATACTTGTTTACTGTGAACGCAATGCAATTGTACATCGAGACATTATTTTTCACCAATACAGCCACACTCTTAATATTTAATCACACAATTGATGTCCAATCACGACAGAATACAGCACTTTTAAAAATGTTATGCTCAGACTCACGGAAAGTCTTCTCCTCTTGTCTTACAATGGCAGCAATATGGTTCAGGAGTAAAATGACAATGTTGAGGTCTGCTCACCAAGACAAAATGGCTTCACGAGATAATCTGGACCTTCTCGTTAAGTGTTCCTGTCTGACTTTAAACATGACTAACATCGTCATCTTGGCAAAATGGATATCGTCAATTTGAATCACAGAAACTCGGTCGAACGCAAATTCTCGATGCCTTACCAACCCGAGTGAGCTCTGTCAGCTTTGACCCGGAGGGCTCGGCCAACTCCATGCTAATGCCACGCAAACCACGGCAGCCGTGGTGACCTTCACCCAGCATCTAGCAGCCATCGACCACCACGCAAACCATTCCTCTTAGTACCTTTCACGCGACGGTCAATGGGATGGTGTATAGCAGATTGTATAATAATAAATAGTATAACAGTGTAATGTCTAATATCATGTATAAGGTAATATATAGTATCGTAATTGTATAGTGAATATACAGCAGTGTGGTATACAGTAGGGTGTGTAGAATAATATATAGTGTAATATTACAATGTTTAGTCTAAGGTATAGGGTAGTGTATAGTAACGCAGTGTATAATTCAATGTTGGGTTTGTCTATGGCAGTGTATAGTAAGGGGTATATCCGTGTGATGTAAGAAAAAAAAGGAAACAAAAGTTTAGCTGGAGGCATATTATATTTTTTGCGACATAGAAGTGTAATGTATGACTTACTGTTAGTAGCTCAGCTTATTGGAGAGTATATTGAGTATATTGATTACATTGATGTATTTTATATTTTAGTTTTTTATCGGTTCACTATATGGTAGTCATTATATAGTGTAGCGTATACCCAGTTACTTAATGTTAATAGCTCAGCTTATTGGAGAGTGTATTATGCACATGATGTAGTTTATATTTCGGGTTTTTTCACATCGGTTTATTATATGGTAGTTGGGTAGTTGCAATTCTTTAGAAACTTCTTTTTTGTTGGCCACACAATACTTGATACGCGGTGGTTTGGCTGCTGCAGCTCCTTACGATTAAAATTTCCCTCCCTTTATCACTGCTAAGCCTACATAATACACGGGCATAATATGACTTTAAGACCCCCCCCCACCCCCTACACATTCCACAAGGAGTGACTAATCCCATATCTGCATTTCCCATCAATATGCTTAATTTCGCTGTTGATATGCAAATTCCTTTGTCAAGGCGCCCTTCCTCCCCTAAGCCAGCTTAAATATACGCTGCCAAGCTTGGTGGTGTTCATTCAGACGCTGTCTTTCCGACAGCCCTGTTCTTCACCTGAGGACGGCTGCTTGCGTTGTGGCCGAAACGTCGTGAGAATTTTAATTTTATTATGTTGAATTTTTATTAATTTATTATTTCCCTTCTACTTGACTTTACCGAAAGAACCAAGAAGAAAACAATCGAACCATTCTAGTTTGTCCGTCCACCTAACGTGGCTCTTTACAACACACGGGTGATCGTCGGCGGCTTCAACAATGTCGACTGCGCAGCTTGTCTCACTCTGTTGGCTCGTGAAGGAGCTGTGCAATCTGGAGGTCATTGCCAGGGCTACAGACCAGGCCACATCATCGCTGTCATCATCATTATGAGCCATGGTCTCTCAACTGCTGGCCACTTCATCACTAGTCATGGTCTGCCCACTACTGGCAACATGTTATCATCACGTGCACGATACTGGATAAACAGATGATTGTAGTGGCAGCACTCTAGAAAATAATGCTAGTGATATTTCCACTGCACATAAATTTGTCCAGTTACCTGCAGGGTTATCTGCGGGTAACAGGCATTATGTTGTTACTCTTTGCGTTGCAATTTATTTTCGCGGATGAATGGAGTCCGAGAAATTAATCCTGTTACTCGTGAATAACCCCAGATATGCAATAATGGTTGCCCATATCACCGTAGATGTCGGGGCAATAGTCTTGTAGTTGATGAATTGTCATTAGAAGAGGGTAGCATTCTCACTTCACTTCCAGTGTTTAGTGGGTAATGGATCACAAGCGATGGGAGTTGAGCTGCTGTGATGTTTAAACTGCTGTGTAGTGGTGCTAATGTGGTGTTGATGGAGCTGTGTGTGTTGATGCTGTGTATGTTGATGCTGTGTGTGTTGATGCTGTGTGTGTTGATGCTGTGTGTGTTGATGCTGTGTGTGTTGATGATGCTGTGTGTGTTGATGCTGTGTGTGTTGATGGAGCTGTGTGTGTTGATGGAGCTGTGTGTGTTGATGGAGCTGTGTGTGTTGATGCTGTGTGTGTTGATGATGCTGTGTGTGTTGATGATGCTGTGTGTGTTGATGATGCTGTGTGTGTTGATACTTTGTGTGTTGATGATGCTGTGTGTGTTGATGGAGCTGTGTGTCCGTGCCAGTGTGCCTCAGTACGTTGTGGCTGCAGGAGCACCCACAGCTGCTGTCGGCACGGAAGATGAGGAAGAGGAGTCCTTCAACCCCTGGATTGGTGAGCAGGGCGTGGGTGGTTAGAATACTCAGGGTGCAAAGTGGGTTGTTTTCAGATGCACTTCTGCGGCCGTCTGGGACACTCTCCCTTCCGATATTAGAAAGCCACTGGAGCTATGCACTTTTAAATGTAGATTGAAAACTCATTTCTTTAGAACTGCCTTTTGTCTTTAGTTTGTCCTTCCCCGCACCTCCGATTAGTGCAGTTGGCTATGTACGGTGCGAAAGAAATCATAAATAGATGATTGTGTACCTTAAAATCGTGTTTGTAATTTGGCGCCTTGTTGACAAATTGACACCGAGCCGGGTGACTGGGTGGCGGCTCGGGGGGCTGTTGTATCTAGAGTGTGTTGCGATAAATAAATAAAGAATGTGTAAATTATTTTTTAAAATTTATGAAATTATGCAAATTAGGCTAACATTCATAAAATTATCAAATGTGTGTGTAATGTTAATTGAGTGTAAGTGTAATGTGATTAATTGTATGTGTGATTAAATGTGTGTAAAATGTTACGTGAAAATGTATGTGTATGATGTATATTATCAATGTGTGTGTGTGAGTAGGTGTATTATACACTGGTCAACAACAAAAAAATTCTGGCCTGGACTTTTGCAGCTGTTTTAGACTATTTTCAGGGTGCTGATTCCAAATCTGATCTCAGATTTTCTCTATCCATCTCATTTTTATGTTATTGGCATACCCCATTTCCATTGATTTTACCCGAAACTTATGATTGCAAGTTGTTGCGAGTCAGTGACTGCTTTAGTGTTAAAATATGGTGCTGTATTTTTAGGATAGTGTGTTTACAATATCATTTTATGTAGATATCCACATTTATTTAATAATTTTCTTCTGCAGGGCATGATCTAACAATGGCTACAACATCCGAAAGAAGGAAATGCAGTAATGACCCAGATATCTTCTGCTACATCTGTGGCAGCTTCACTTTGCAGGATCAAAGGCGCAACATCAATACCTTTGTCAAGAAGGTTTATCTTTCCTACTTTAAAGTACGACTTGGAGACCAAGACAAAAATTGGGCTCCTCACAAAGTGTGTAAAACCTGTGTTGAAACTTTGCGATCATGGTCTAAAGGAAAGCATGCTAAGCTGAAGTTTGGTGTGCCAATGGTTTGGAGAGAACCTACAAACCATTTGGATAACTGCTACTTCTGCCTTGTCAATGTAAAAGGTTTCAATAAGAGAAACAAACAACACTTACAATACCCAGATATCCCATCTGCCAGACGACCAGTTGAGCACTGTGAGGAAATACCTGTGCCTGCATTTACTGAGCTACCAGAGATTGATGTAGAATCCCTCAGTTTACCTGCTTCTACAGATGATGATGATGATGATGCTCAGATCGAATATACGCCATCTGATGCAGATTGTGATAAAACGTCTCTGTTTAGTCAGCCTGAATTTAATGATTTTGTAAGAGATTTGTATTTGCCAAAGCAGTCTGCTGAATTGTTGGCTTCCAGGCTGCAAGAGAAAGGACTACTCAGACCTGGCACTAGTGTCTCCTTTTAACGTAACAGAGAAGCAGCACTGCGAAAGTGCTTCCATTCAGATGGTCAACTTGTTTATTGTAAAGATGTTGAAGGGCTTCTTCTCAATATGGGACTGCCCGCATATGATTCAAGTGAATGAAGACTTTTTATTGACAGTAGTAAAAGGAGTTTGAAATGTGTGTTACTTCACAACAGAAATATATATGGTTCAATCCCAATAGGACACTGTAAAAATTAATGAAGAGTATGTCAACATCAAGATTGTTCTGGATAGATTGGAATACCAAGTTCATGGATGGCTAATTTGTGTTGATTTGAAAATGGTTAATTTTCTGCTGGGTCAGCAAGGAGGTCACACCAAATACCATTGTTTCCTGTGCTACTGGGACAGTAGGGCTACATTAGAACACTGGATTAAAAAGAACTGGCCACCAAGAATCAGTTTGACGCCTGGTGACAAGAACATCAAGAATGAGCCTCTGGTTGATAGGAATAAAATTGTATTTCCCCCACTGCACATAAAACTTGGGTTAATGAAGCAATTCGTCAAAGCTCTTGATCACACTGGAGACTGCTTCAGCTATAGATGTTCAACCTTTTCAAGTCTCAGTGCCGAGAAGAAAAAAGGCAGGAATATTTGATGGCCCTCAAATAAGAACACTCATCAGGGATCCACACTTTGTTACAACAATGACTGCGGCAGAGGCTAGAGCTTGGAATGCATTCTCTGATGTGGTTCGGAATTTCCTTGGGAACAGGAAAGCGGACAACTATCGAGAAATTGTGGAGGAGCTGCTCTTGAGTTTCCAAGCACTTGGATGTAGAATGAGCATCAAGGTTCACTACTTACATAGTCACTTGGCCCAGTTTCCAGAGAACATGGGTCACGTGAGCGAAGAGCAAGGTGAACGCTTTCATCAAGGCATTAAAGTTATGGAAGAACGTTACCAAGGCCGATGGGACTCAAACATGATGGCAGATTACTGCTGGTCCTTGATGAGAGACATTCCACAAGCTGTACATCGGAGATTGTCAAAGAAGAGGTCGTTTATGCAGATGTAACATCACTATTGTGAATGACCTTTTTGTACATATTTTACTTATCTTCACAATTCAATTCTTGCATGGTAATATGCATTCACTCACATTGATATGCAGTCACTCTCACAACTTTGTGCTACAGCTCATTAAATGTTTATTTCATTATTATTGTATATTGTATCTTATTCTTGTATGGATGTCTGTTTAGCTATTCGTATATGAGCATACATTTTTATTGAAAATGCAATATTTGATATCTCAAAAACCTGATGTGATAGACAAAAACTGATGCCAGATTTGGAATCAGCACCCCAAAATTACCTTAAAACCGTTGGAATACCTTATGCCAGAAAAAGTGTGTTGACCAGTGTTATTCACATGTTTGTATTATCTTACCTATATAGGTAATTTTTTTGTCTGTGCGTCTGTCTGTCTGCGCGGGTACTTTGTGACGTTTTTAACAGACAAACTGTGGAGTTTACACAGTTTAAAGTAGTTAAATTAGCAATTTGTTCTTTTTATAAGCACAGGGCGGCGCCAGAGCACGCATCTGCGCATGCGCGAGAACGCTGACGCGGTGGGGGGGGGGGGGAATTCTCATTCACGTTCAAAATGCAACAAAAACACACAACGCAGAGGTAGTTCTTCTAAATGTGATGTGCACTTCTCCCCCCCCCCCGCCACCCCAATGTGTGCAGTTACTATTATAGAGTCCGTAGATACTACTACTACTATAGTCCGTAGATACTACTACTGTAGTGCGGGCGAGGGGATGGTGGGAGGGTGGGGTAGTGGCCCAGCCCCAGCCAGCCAAAGCGCCACCTCGGCCGGCTGGGCAAGCTTGCGAAGCCGGGGGCTTTGCACGGCACTCTTTTAAGTTAGTAGTTAACTGCTATAGAGCCGATAGATACTATTTGGTTCTTTCGGTAAAGTCACTTCGGTTGAAAAAATTATAGATCACGACGTTTCGATCACCACACAAGCAATCGTCCTCAGGTGGGATAGAGAAACAGGCTGCTGAAACAAGTCGTTATATATAGAGCCGGGAGGGGGGAGTTGCCGCATCGGGCAAGAGGTTGGGGGCTAGAGATTGTGCCTGAGCGAATGGGAAATCCAAAGATGGGAACCGAGATGGGGGGTGGGGGTGTGGTTGATGCGAGAGCCGAGGGGGTGGCCATTGTATTGTGAGAGATTAGCATGTCAATGTAAACGAACCAACGGCAACGGTGGTTGTTTTCGTGAGACATCCAGCTCGTTAGACAAACAAATGACACCACATCGAGGGAAGGAGATGCACATACCGAGAGGCACACCCACGCACAGAGAGACACAAACAAAGACAGAAAGACACATTCAGAGGACACATCCAGACAGAGAGAGACACACACAGAGAGAGAGACACAATGAGACACAAGAGAGAGAGACATTTTGGGAGACAAACAGAGAGAGAGATACACAAACCGAGAGACACACACAAAGAGACACACAGAGAGAGACACAAACACAACAACATCACAGCCAGTTGTAGTCTGCTAAAAAACGAGAGCCACCGCCACATCGAGGGAAAGGGGCAACATTGGCTTTGCTAGTGAGACATTTAGCCCGTTAATGTCAATACATTTAACTTGGTACCTTGGTCTTGGAAAAAACAATGTCGTGTGAACCCACAGCATTCATGCAGTGATCAGCTACGGCAGAGGTATTGGTTCTGCCGTGTTTTAAATCTGCCTTGTGTTCGCGAACACGGTCCGAGACATGTCGTTTAGTTTCCCCAATGTAACTGCTACCGCAGACAACTTAGTTTGTAGACACCAGGGTATTGCATGTCAGGAATCACATCTTTCACAGATGGGATCAGGTCACGGATTTTGTGTACTGTGTTGAATCGAACCTGAATCTTGTGTTTGTTCAAGATTTTGGAAGTCTTTTTGGTAACCCCTGCTATGTATGGCAAGGTGATGGTTTTGATTGGGTCCTCAGATGGTACTCTACCCATGGTTGGGGATACAGCTTTGTGGATTGTGTGTGATCTTGAGGGCTTTGCATACGTGCTCAAGTTCACTGGATAAGTGGTGCTGTTCGGAATTTCAATGGGCCCTATGGTGTAGTGTTTTGATGAGGGAATTCTTCTGGGCTGGATGGTGGTGGGAATCGGGCTTTAGATAGGAATCCGTGTGGGTGGCTTTCCTGTAGACAGTGTCCCAACGAGCCATCAGGTCTCTTCTCGATCAAAACATACAGGAATGGTAGCTTGCCATCATTTTCCACTTCCATGGTGAATTTTATAGCTGGGTGTACGGAATTGGTGTGGTTGAAAAATTGGTTCAGTGCTGACAGGCCATGTGGCCAGATGACGAACGTGTCATCTACGTATCTCTTCCACAAGGAGGGACGTAGGGTGGATGTCTGGATGGCATCTGTCTCAAATTTCTCCATGACAACATTCGCTACCACTGGCGATAAGGGAGAGCCCATTGGGGTACCCTAATTTTGGTTGTAGAATGCACCATTCCAGGTGAAGTAAGTGTTGGTAAGGCAATGCTTCACCAAAGTTTGTACATCAGGATTCAGTCCCTGTTAGACCAAGTCTTCAATGATTGCAATGGTGCCAGGTACAGGTACCTTGGTGAACAGGGAGACTACATCGAAGATGACAAGCAATTCATCTGGAGACAGTGAGATGTCCTTGATTAGAGAAACCAAGTGAGCTGAGTTAAGTACAGCTGAAGTGGTCTTGCCCGTGAAAGGAAGCAGAGTCTCGGACAGAAATCGGGCCAGTTTGTAGATGGATGAGTTAATGGTGGAGACTATAGGATGGAGCGGGGTACCATCTTTATGGATTTTTGGAAGGCCATAAAATCTGGGTGGTCTAGCAGCCGAAGGGTTTAGAGAGAGCTGCTTGGTCGGTTCGCTTAGAGAAGTCGAATTAGTGATGATATAGTTGGTTTTCGTGGCCAGGTGGTTGGTAGGATCTCTATTGATTTTGGTATAGCTGCCATCAGTAAGAAGGTCCTCACTTAATTTTGCTTTTCTTTATCTTGCAGGGTTACAATTTTAATGTGATGCAATTACAAACTCTATCTATCAGGGCCTGTGACGAAGTAAATTCTCATACTTCTAGCCATACAGCTCTGTATGACTGTTGAACTTCTTTCACACCGTACTTAGACAACCATGCTAATCAGAGGTATGGGGGAAGGACAACAAACTAAACACAAAAAGCAGTTTTAAAGAAATTAGTTTTCAATTTAGAATGAGTTTTCAATTTAGCATTGGCGCATCAATGTTTAGAACGGTTGTTTTTATGACGCTTTGCGCTTGTGTGAGGGACTGCCATCGTCAATGCCTGGGAGGGGTAACCGGTGACCCGCGTGGTTATATAGGGGAGTGTGGGCTCTGCGGGTTTGTCGCCAGCGGACGCTAAGCGCTGTGTGTGGCCCCAGACGACAGCGACGGGGACCCCCCAGCCCTGCCGGATGCCGAATCGGGACCCGAGGATGAGGAGGAGAAGCGCTGGCTCGACGCCCTGGAGCGCGGAGAGCTGGACGACAATGGGGAGCTCAAGAAGGAGGTGGACGAGTCCCTGCTGACGCCACGGCAGGTGAGCTCCCTGCCTTGGGATTCGCCCTTGAGGCTTGGGAATGTCCCCCTGTCTCTGCATCTCAACCTGCGTCTCCCTCTCTTAACAGATTGACAGCCAACGATGTGTAACCTTGCCGATAAAGATACCGACCCAGGGAGGGTACCGAACCCATACATCGTCCACTATCACCCAACTTATGTTACGTGGAATGCCAATTATTCACTATGAATGGCCCTTCTCATGAGTGCCTGTTATATATTTTAAAGTGACATTTTGTCAAGACATTGCCAATTGCATCTGAGCAAGCCCTTGTTCGAAAGTGCATTGACGCACAAGACAAAGATCCCCCGTAAAGCCTTAACAGACTGTTGGGGAAGGTGCTGTTAGCGAGCACCTATGAAGGCCGGAACGGTACACGAAGGGGAGGGTGGCCACCACCACGTCCAGAACGCCTTTGTCTCCCCCGGTCCTGGAGGCCCAGGACCAGTTCCGAAAATCGCCACTGGTATTGGCCGTGAGCGGGAATTGAACTCGAGTCGCCGGGTTCATAGCGCAGCACACTAACAACTGCACTACCACTTCGCACGCACGTACTCGTGTGTGTGTGTGTGGTGTTTGTTTCGCGAGCAGCGCGCACTGCTGCACCGTGATGCGGCGCCCACCCAGCCGCTGCTGGAGCTGCCCATGGGCTACAAGGAGAAGGAGATGACGGCAGAGATGCTGATGAAGCGCGCGGAGCGGGCGCGCACACGCCGCCTGCAGGCCGCACGCAAGGCCGAGGAGAGTCGCAAGCAAACAATAGAGCGCCTCACCAAGACCGGCCGCGCCAAGTCCGGCGGCAAAGCCGGGGGTCGCGTGGGGGCGCTTGGCCGGCGGTGGCCCATGGCCCCCACCGTGCGCTACTCCAGCTCCGCCTCCGAGGGGACCACCGTCTCCTTCCCGCCCGGCTTCCCGCTGCCGGCGCTGCTGGGTCCCACACCGCCCCCTCCGCCCGCCCCCTCGCAGGCGCTGGACTGCGGCGTCCCCGGCTGCACCAACAGGAAGCGCTACAGCTGCGCTAAGACCGGCGTGCCGCTGTGCAGCCTCGAGTGCTACCGCAAGAACCTCGCGCTGCAGGCGAACTCGTAGCCGGGCTCCCATGGAGCGGTGGTGCGGAGAGATTTGCGAGCTCATCTCCGCATTCCCGACTGTTGTACATGGAGTGGACGATGCGATTAGAAATCTTCCTTTTTGACTGTTGCTGTACATATGAAGATAACCTCGAACATGGATTTTTAGCGGTCAGCGCCATGGTCAATTGTGCACATAGCGGCATTGTCACCTTCCCTGGGAGCGGCGTTACCTCATGTACTCCAGCGACAAGGAGCAACGTACAGCTGATACAGCATCCTTCAGGCATCCTCGCATTCCCGTGCAATGACAATAAGCAACAAAATCTTCGGAACGCAACCAATTCAGTGATGACCGATGTCTCCATCGATTAATCAACCCACGTATTTTACGTCGAGGATGACAAGAATCACTTAATGGTACGAACTATGTGTCATTAAGTGAGGGTGAGGGTACGTTAGGGCACGTGATGCTGGTGGCTTGGTGTGATTGGCTACGAGTCTTGCTCAAGCGAATCCTTGCGTGGAGCAGCCTGACAAGACCTTAATGATGCCCGGATACGAGAGGGGCCTCCACTGCTTCTACTGAACTCGGCAATGCTGTTGATGCCTGGAATTCTGTATTCATTGTTGTCATGAATACATTTGAGTAAAAGCGGCTTGATTGTTCAGCGTGGCATGAAATGTTGACCTAACACAAAATTTGCTTTATATAATAAATGCGCATTCTTGCAGAAAGGCTTCACATAAAGACGTGTTTTTAATGATGAATGGACAGTGATGTAGTTCTGGAAGGTATCTTGTCATTAAATTGTATTTTATTTATTTGTCGAGGACTGCAGGGTATGATTTATTCATGATACACAATGACAGAAGCCAACATTATATTCCGGATTCTTTGATATCTCGCATATACACAATGTTCAACCACCCACACACAGATTTTAATGCAAACAAGTCTTATTTATAAAAAAAAATGTGAGTACCAATCATCAAATATGCAACTGACATTTGGTCCAAAGAATACTTGATACTGTTCTACAAATGAAAACTTTGAAAACTGAAAACAGAAATTAATGGCATAACTCAGAATGTAGGTTAATAAGGCATCAATGCACACTGATAATTAAAGATAAGGCAAGCAACACAACAGAAGCAATCTGCTTTCAGTCTGCAGCAGACAGTCTCATGCTCGCGTTGAGAAGGTGACACGGCAGTCGTCGTGCAAACAGCGGAGACAGCGACCCAATGGTTGATGACGCAGCAGCAGCAGCCAGGAGGTTGATGCAGCTGGTGACTTGTCAGCTGTGGTCAGGTCTTGACGACGTGTAGAATGATGATGTTCTTCATCTGTACCTTGGTAATAATTCACGGAGTTTTTACAGGCACTTTTCGTTTGGCTCGTGTCATCCATGGCACGTGACCTTGTTCGGTGCAATGTTAACGTCTCTCCCTCTCAAAATTAATGCCTTTCTCGAGTAGGCAAATGTCTTCTCTCCTTAAATATTTCTTCTGCAACACTCAACGTGAGTCCCCTTAATCGCACTTGCCATATGTATTATTCAATCACTGAAAATCTGAAAATGTGCTTTTAGCATCTCCACTCTTTCAGCGCCATACAATACTTGTTATTTAATTTAAATTATTCTCGCAAGTTCGTGTCTCGTGGTTTTTTTCCATCAATTACAAGACGTCCTCAATAGTCACCAGGTCCATAGATCTGTCTAGCCAAGGCCGTAGCCATGGAGTCAACATTGGGGGGGGAGCAAATCTTCTAGGGGGTCTGGGGGTCCCCCCTCCAGAAAAAAAATCTCAATTTGGAAACTAATTTCCCACCTAAAATATATCATATAAACTCTGCATCATTATTCTTCGCAAGTGTACATGAAAAACCCACGACCGACCGATGCAACCGTATGAACAAATATATATGATAAAGAAAAATATGAATTTCGATTTAAAGCTTTCGTGACTGCAGGGATTCATCTTCTTGGTTCTTTCGGTAAAGTCACGTAGAAGGGAAATAATAAAAAAATAACAATATTACTTTATTATGTTTTATTTTTATAATTTTATTATCTCCCTTCTACGTGACTTTACCGAAAGAACCAAGAAGATCAAGGGAGATAATGCTTTTCACGATCAGCTAATAGCTAACGCACCACCTTGGGATGGCAACCCTTTTTGAAACACAAAAATACCTTTTTGGAACAATCTTATTCGTCCCAATGTGTGTTATGTGTGTGTGTCTTCTTGCCAACTGTTGAATTAGCGGCTTACACGGTACAGCGTTTCTTGTACCGAAAGCACCTCAGGTTCCCAGCAGGGCCGCTGGTTACGGCGTGTGTGCGTGTGTGTTGAACAAACGTCACTCCCACCTGCGCCAACTCTCTCTCTTGGCTGCGCCAGGCTCTCTCCGCTGCTGGGGTGGTTGTTGAGTCGGCGGTGCCCGTGCTGGCAGGGAAGATGGGTCCGGCTTCGTCTGCGTCGATGTGCGCGATGATCCCGTGGCCAGACTCTGTTGATCCTTGGAGATTCGGCGCCGCCCATCTCTTGGTGCTCTCCGCCCTTCTTCCAAGAGGGCTCCTGTTGTGAGCTGCTTATCGCCGCTCCTCACTCCCAAAATTCATATTAAGAATAATTCGGCCAATATATATTTTTTATAAATAATGAAACCAAAACATGTAACCCTGCAGCACACTCACAAGCACCAAACATCTGGAGGTCGTAAAATGCCATTAAATAATACACTCCGGGGCAAGGGAAGGAGCCAGACATAAAATCAGAACAACACACACGTCCCCTTCCCCGGACGAGGGGTGCCGAAACACGTTTTTTTTTGTTAACTTTTTCATGTTTCTTCTAACAACGGTAAAAGTTAAAAACTTAGCGACAAAGATTAAGTGAACATTGTAGATCCTCACACTCACTCCAATTAAGAACCAGGCTACAATCTACTTCAGTGGATTATTATTTCTCATTTATTGATTGAATACTAATGTTATCTATACCTTTAAAAAAAATTCTACACGACCTTACCAAAGCACAAAAGAGTGGATTCTGGGTCTGTTGGGATTTCTCTTTACTTGATACAGCAATCGTGCTGTGACGGTTCCACCTGAAGATGGAAGCTTGTGTTGCCTCCGAAACGTCGTGATTTATTATTTTATTTATATTATTTCTTCTATTATTTTTTACCTACGTGACTTTACCGAAAAATCCTAAGAGTATGGATTCTGGCAGTCAAGGATGTTCTTAAGCCAAAACGTAATCCTCCAACCTCGGGATATGAAAATCTAACTCAAAATAAAACACCGATCCCTGGCAACACAAACTTATAACAACGCTGAATAAAACCCTATGAAAATACGTGGCAATAACAATGCTAAATCATAGAACTTGAATAAATATAAACCCAATTAATAATTATGAAGTATTAGATCGAAGGTCATCCAGGAGGGATGAAACGAAATAGCCCAACCACACAGGACCAAAAAAAAATTGTATTCCATAGAGAGAGAGAGAGCCTCCCAACCGCCTTTGTCTTCCCGCATCACGTGATAGCAAGATTTGCACACAGGCAAAGAACATCTCCCCATAAAAGAAATCAAACCACGATGGAAATACTGTGAACATGGCTACAACATACTTTGAGTCACTTACAAAATCAAAACTACAAAGTAATACTATAAGAGGTAAAGTGAGTTTTATTTTAACTTCCAAACAGTAAAACAGGATTATTTGAAAAGCTTGTGTGAGACAAAGAATGTCACACCCACCGCAAGGGAAGGGGGGAGCAGGGGAAGACGGGGAAACCCTCCTTCCAGGTTAATTATTATAGAGGATGAAGGGGGCTGAAAGGACGCACTTGGAGGCAATCTGGGACAGCTGCTTCCATTGATGAACTTATATTACCTCAATAAAATCAGAACACACACACGGACACATGTGCAGCTGTTTCAACACAGGCGGGGAGCGAACACAATGCTTCCGGTCCTTTGTAAGAAGGCGTGCCAAGGGGAGATATTTTTCAGATATAACTAGAGACTCGGCCTATACATTTCAGAAGCTTGCCAGCAGAAGAAGAATGCAGCAGAAGAAGACTCCGCAACACATCAAGGATGGCGAGGCTCGCTGAGTGGCGATGTGCTACCGAGTGCGAGTCCAGCACCAACAGAAGAAGTATCGCTCGAAAGTCATTCTGCTCTGGATTTGAGGCTTTCGTGACTGCAAGGATTCATACTCTTAAGTTTTTTCGGTAAAGCCACGTAGGTAAAAATTTTAATAATAATAAAATAATAGAAATAATAATGGAAATAAAAGAATAAATCACGACGTTTCGGAGGCAACACAAATCTCCGTCATCAGGTGGGACCGTCACAGCTAAATTTACTGTATCAAGTGATGAAAAATCCAAGAGACAAGCTCTTAAATACAAGTTAAGGGGGAGGGGGGGCTTATCTGAATGTGGTAGCCAGAGAATGGCACGGTGGGGGGGGGGGGACTAAAAGAGAACAATGGTGCACATCGACTCAGGGTTGTGGCCGGTGTTAGCTGATAATAAGCATAAAAGGAAGCAGTGCTGTTAAACTATGGGGATGTCAACACTCGGTAAAGTAGAATAGTACCTGTCAAATAAGATGGTACAAATATGTGTAATTAAATATTTTTTTAATGGTTAATAACATCTTTCCAATGATTACTCAGTTTGTACCCATCATCACGGTTGAAGTTATGTCTGTGCTTGTATATCTGGATGGCTTCGTGTACAAACATTTGATGGTATCCAGAAGGTTTGCAGAGCACCTTGGTTTCGGAAAAGACTATCATGAGAGCCCACAGCGTTGTAGCAATGATCAGCTTAATTTTGCCGTGTTTCAGATCTGACTTGTGCTCGCTTTTATGCTTATTATCAGCTAACACCGGCCACAACCCTGAGTCGATGTGCACCATTGTTCTCTTTTAGTCCCCCCCCCCCCACCGTGCCATTCTCTGGCTACCACATTCAGATAAGCCCCCCCTCCCCCTTAACTTGTATTTAAGAGCTTGTCTCTTGGATTTTTCATCACTTGATACAGTAAATTTAGCTGTGACGGTCCCACCTGATGACGGAGACTTGTGTTGCCTCCGAAACGTCATTTATTATTTTATTTCTATTATGATAAAAAAAAAATTACCTACGTGACTTTTACCGAAAAAACCTAAGAGTATCATTCTGCTCTGGGTACCGACTCCCACGAGCCACTGCAGTTCGAGTTGAGCTGACGAGAATTCCAGCAATCATCCTTGAGAAAGGGCGGAAAGCGACAAACATCGACCAAGCCAGCATCACAGAGAACCAGCTCCATCAGACATTGGTGCCTGCCACCAGCGAACGAGAGCATCGTTCATCACCAGAGAACGCGGAGCCGGAGAGAGCGCACCGCCGCCGCCAGTGCCACCGAGCACCACAGGTGTCAGCTTGCCAGCGGACGAGCGACAAGAGCGACCAAGCATCTTCAAGGACAAGCATCGCGTGCCAACGCAGCTCATCCAACAACGGAGAGAGCCAGCAGCTAACAGCAGACACGCCACGAGCGAGAGGGAGCTTCAAAGTCCCGCAAAATCTCATTAGCCCCCCCCCTGGGACCTGTTTTTTTATTACATTTTTGTGTGGCGAAGCAGGAGGCGGGAGGGGGTGACACCCCTTTCCGTGCCCCAGCGCTACATCCCGATCAAACTTATAATAAGTATAACCCGTAAAAACAAAGTTTTTCACTCTAAATCCTTTATATGCGTGGCGGCTAGAGTCCTCTCGTCCTCTGGCTTGAGATGGCTGCAATCTATGGGTCAGATGATTGTCTGCCAGTATTAAGCAATTGGTAATTAAATATTTAATTTGTTTTCCCTAAACAGTGTAAAATTTTGGAAAAAAATGTTCACGAAAATTAATTGTCACACAACGAGTCTGTGTGGAAAATGTCAGCTCGATTGGATCACGGGAAGTGGGTTAAAAAACGAGTGAAAGATTTGCACAGTCCTAAGCAAGCAAGCGAACTTAATATAAAGGATTTAAAATATATTCGCCTGTGGAGGACACGGGGATCGATCCCGCGACCTTTGGCATGGGAAGCGAGGGTGCTACCAACTGCGCTACTCCGCCACGGCCTGTGGAGGGGTTACGCTCTGGGCTCCTATACTGTGACGTTCAGCCAAAGCCATAAATGAGTTCTATTTGAATAAATGTGAAATATTTTTTTTTTGCCTAAAAAGTGTAAAATTTTTGAATATTTTTT